TTTAGAATAAAAATTAAAACTAAAAATCTAAATGGAAAATAATTATTTAAACGTAAATTTTTGTAAATTACTTTATAGAAATTATAAAATACAATTAATTTAATAAGTAAATAAAATAAAAAGAAAATTTTTCTTAGAAAATACTGCTTTGAAAATTATTGTAAATTGGGTTGTAGTTTAAGATTCTTTTAATTTCAATGCAGGAAGGTAAGTTGTCAAGTACAGCCTGCCAATACCTAAAAAAAAAAGGTAAAAAATTGATACTGCCCTATTAATTTATCATATTGCCCTATCAATTTATCATGTTCTGTTTTCATCTAGTTTGTAAATTCTATTTCATAAATCTACACACATTGTAATTTGCACAGCTTAAGCAGCCTAGCTTTATATATGTTTAGGATTAAATAGCTAATCTTAACTCAATCTTTAGCATATATAATAATTTAATTTTAAACCAATATTATAACTTAACCTTAAACCAATAGAACTACTATATACATCTACACCTTATTTTTACTTTGATGTTTTTAAAATCAAGCTAAGATATCTTTGAACTAAACATCAAGGTTTAAAATAAACTGATACCTCGTATCAGAATAATATAACTTGATACAAGGTATATCTAGTTATGTTGAAATCTGGAAGGCAAATATTCACATACTTTTTAGATTTCAACAAAGCTTTTGATAGCGTTAATTATTGGAAGTTGTTTTCTAAATTAATTGATCAGGGTGTTGTCAAGAATATTGTCTTAATACTTGCATCTTGGTACAAGAATCAAACTATGTTTGTCAAATGGCAGAAAGAAAACTCTGAATGCTTTAACATAAAAAACGGTGTAGAGCAAGCTGGAATTCTTTTACCGCATTTGTTTATATTTTATATAAAAACACTAATTTTAAACATTATGAATATGCATATTGGATGTAATATAGGTGAAATTTTTTGAATCTTTTGGCATATGCCGACGATCTCTTCCACCCTTTACCTTGGATATGAATTAGTTTTCACTGGATATGAATTAGTTTTCATTAACAAATTCATTTGGATCACATATGAGAAAATGGTTTGTTTGACAATGCTGATATAAATCGAGAGATTAAATGTCTTTAAAATAAGAGAAACACAGTTTTTTAAGATAGACACCAACATATGTATGAAAAATTCAAAAACTTATAAATCTGTATTTGAAAATTCTGTTAACTTTTTTATAAGTGCGCGAATTTCATAAGAACTGGCATAAGTGCGAATGGCGTAAGCGCAAATTGGCATATGTGCGAACTTGCATAAGTTCGAATCGTTGAAAAAACTGGCATAAGTACGAACTGGCATATGTGCGAATTGGCATAAGTGCGCCAAAACATTTTGCAAACATTGGCATAAGTGCAATTTTGCATATATGCTAACTGGCATAAGTGCGATATAGTTACAAAAAATGACACAAATGCAAACAGGCATAAGTGCGAGTTCGAATAAGTGCGCCAAACAAGTTTGCAAACATTGGCATATATGTGAATTGGCATAAGTGCGAACTGACATAAGTGCAAAGCAGTTACAAAAACTGGTATAAGTGCGAGCTGACATAACTGCAAATTGCAAAACTGAAAAAACTGCAAAAAAATTGGCATAAGTGCGCCAAATAAATTCGCAATAATTGGCATAAGTGCGAACTGGCATAAGTGTGAATTGGCATAAGTGCGAAATACTAATTTGCAATTATGCCAATATTTGAAACTTTATTCGGGGCACATAAGCCGATTCGTACTTATGCCAGTTTTTGTAACTGTTTCGCACTTATGCCAGTTCGCACTTATGCCAATTCGCACTTATGCCAACATTTGCAAATTTATTCGTCGCACATGCTAATTTGCCGTTATGCCTGTTATTATCGTTTTCCATCAGGAAACCCAGATGTTTAACATTTCCACAAAATAAAGTCTTTATTAAAAGTTAGTTTTTTTAATTAAATTAAAAAAAATTAAAATTTAAATGGCAGCCAATTTTTTCTGAATATTAGTCAAAAAGTTGCATGAAAATATCAGAGATAACCTCAAACTTATTTTTTACTGCATTTGTAAAAAAATTCCAAAAATGGTCTATATAAAGACTATAACACTGTTAGGTTCATAATTAGTTAGAGAATTTAAAGGTAATTCAATATTTTAGGTTTAAGGGTCATCCATAAATAACGCAACGTAAAGTATATTTTAAAAACAGAAGTTAAAGATATTTAGCTCTTTTGAGCGGCGAAATTTATTAAATTTAATGGGTTATTCTGACTTTTTATTTAAATTAAGACTCTGCGAGGGAGCACTTTTGTTCTTTTTTGTGTTGTTTATTGTGAAAGTTTGCTTTACACAATTTATAGACGATCCCTTGGAGACTTTTTTAAAATCTAAAATGTCAATTTATATATATATATATATATATATATATATATATATATATATATATATATATATATATATATATATAATATATAAAATATTCATATATATATATATATATATATATATATATATATATATATATATATATATATATATATATATATATATATATATATATATATATATATATATATATATATATATATATATATATAGTATTAGACAAAAGAAGTGCAACCAAATAATGCTAATTTAGTTTCTTTATATAAAAGTGCTGCATTTTTTCAATTTAGACAATTATGTAGCTGCTTAAAGACAACGTTCTTAAAGTTTTATTCATTGCAAAGTTCATTATTTGTACACGAAAATTAATAAATTAATCAAAAGTATTAAAAAAATTTAATTTCCTTTTGGACAGAAGCAACTCCACAAAATGTTGATCAAGCTGTATTCGCTATCAATATTTCGTGGCGAATCTTTTTGTTGTTGCTCACAGCCTTGCATCTTTGAGGCATAGATTCGATCAGGGGTTCAATAAAACTTTTCGCTGCCCAGGACTTTTGGATTTGTTCAAACAGTTGATCCTTATTACGAACACCTTCACGATTAATTCAGCGGTTGACGATCTCCGACAGGTTCTCGATAGGGTTGAGATCCGGAGATTGAGACGGCCAATCCATCATTAATAGGTAGTTGTCTTGAAACCACTGCTTGACTACTTTTGCAGTGTGTTTCGGATCGTTGTCTTGCTGAAAAACCAATTTTATTGGTATATTCCATTCAGCATGCGGTAACATAAAATCTTTTAGGATATTTTTATACATGAAACGGTCCATTATTTCATTGATTCGATGTATTTGACCTAAACCGTTAGCAGAAAAACACCCCCAGACCATTACATTGCCTCCACCATTCTGCACGGTGTTATGCCAGTAACGTAAATCGAGGCTTTTTTCCGCCAGTCTACGTACTCGGCAAATGCCATCACTTCCAATGATATTGAACTTCGATTTATCACTGAACAGGACATTTCGCTATTTCCGCACATTCCAGTTAATATGAGGTTTAGCGAACAGGAGTCTTTTACTCTGGTTCTTAGTGAAATAAGCGGTTTCTTTGTAAGGCGTTGAGAAAACGGCACGTCGTCTGATTGTTTGGTCTGATACAGGCAGCTTTAACTACTTTTGTATCTCGACTGATGATATCCAGACTGATGATATCTTTCTTGATGGATCTGACAACCATAAAATCCTCTCTAGAAGTGGTTGAACACGGTCTTCCACCTTTGTTATCTGCGGTCAACTTCCTCGTAGAACGATTTTTAAACATAGTCTTGATACGGTCCATTTTTTCACGCGATATTTATCACAAATACTTTTTTGTGACATTCCACTTACGTAACCGCGAATAATTTTTTTTCTTAGCTCCATTCCAAAACTGTCGGGAGCCACTTTTGCACTTGATGCAATAAAAATAAATAATCACTTTTCTCAAGGATACCTTGTTACACTTACCTTGTGATGATACAATAATGCTCTGTGGAACACAACGTCTGGATACTATCTTTAATTACTAAAAAACTTCCGTGACGTTGACATGGACCAGACTTATGAAAATGAAACATACTATAAAAGATGCACTTGTTTTGTCAGCAGCAAAATGGCACTTGTCAACGAAATTCTTCCTGTGTGCTGTGATCTGTCAGCTAATTGCTCATGTCATGGCATGCTATGACTCCAGACTCCTAAACTGTTTGCTGTGGTAGTATAGTTCGTTTCGTTTTGAAGACATGTAAAATTAGGAACACTTTTTAGCATTGCTCGATGTTGGTTGCAGGTGTTTTGTCCAATACTGTATATATATATATATATATATATATATATATATATATATATATATATATATATATATATATATATATATATATATATATATATATATATATATATATACAGATTTTAAAATGTGGATTTTACGAGCGTGTTGTGGTTACCTTAGGTCTCTTCGCCTTATGTTGAAATGGCAACTGGGAGAGCAAGGAGCCATGACCCCAGTGTGTTAAAGTAGCGAATTAGCTGAGATTTTAATTAAGTATCTTGATAAAGATCAGGCTACCAGTTATAGCATTTACAAAATTGGAGCCATCTTACATGCAAGATTTATGGAGAAGACTTTTTACTTTATAAAGTTTGAGCTACTGCTAAGGATCTGACTAAATATTAATCTGAGTGAAAATATTATCAGAGAAATTATTAGGATGGTTGAGTGTATTGTACTTTTCTGGGCTCCATTGTTCCTGACATGCGAATTTGCAGATTCTGCTGCCTTCCAGGCTTGCTATATAAACTAACTTCTTAAATTACCACAATAGTTAAAATCTTATTTACTTGAATAAAAACTCCTAAATATTCTATAGGATCTGATGTACTACTGGCAGATGTGCTACTATGCTAAATTTTCCGTAGTTCCAAAATTTTGTTAAATCTGTTAATGTGGTCAACGATTTGTCTAAAAGAGCTGTAAAACATATCCAAGACAAAGAGTAAACAAAAGCTGCAGGACCTACTCCAAATCGAAAATGCTTGGAAAAAACCAGGAAAAAATACAAAA